AAGGACTCCAAGTTCACTCAGCAAAATGTATTTTAGGGCTTTTTGCCCACTTTTATTCATCTGAATGTTAAATAACAGTGTTCTATCCACGCAGGAGTTGTTTAGCATAACAACACACTCAAACGACTTGCAGCCATTTGGGTGTTATGTCGCAGAGCTGCCTCAATTTAAGCCTCTCTGCTTGACTGGATCCTCCAGTCGCCAGACTGGACCTGTTGTCTGCTCGCATAAAAATTGTTAATTGCTTAGCTCAGACACACCGTCCTGGAAAGATGCTGAATACCTCAGTCTTTTTACAATGTCCAACTCAGACATCAGTCTGGCTCAGCTACCTATCTGTGTAGGCTAGATTGGCCTGGACACGCACTCCCCACCCTTTCTCTGCTGTTACAGGATTTATATAGCGCCAACAGTTTAAGCAGTGCTTTACAATATAAGGAAGACATTACAATTACAATACAATACAATTCAAGACAAAATGGTAAGGAGGGCCCTGCCTGAGAGGGCTTACAATCTAGAAGTTAGGGGGCAAGTGATACATGTGGAGGTAGCTGTGTGGAGATGAATGGTTTTGAGAATGTGGTGGTTCAGTGGTTAGTTTGAGGCGGGATAGGCTTACCTGAAGAGATGAGTCTTTAGGGATCGCCTAAAGGCAATCAGAGTAGGAGATAGACGGACAGGTTGGGGTAAAGAATTCCAGAGGATGGGAGATACTCTAGTGAAGTCCTGGAGGTGAGCATGGTAGGAGTTGACAAGGGAGCTGGAAAGCAGGAGGTCTTTGGAAGACCGGAGGGGACGGTTAGGGTGATACTTTGAGACAAGGTTTAAGAAATATACAGGGGCAGAGTTGTGGATACCTTTTGTAAGTGGTTGTTAATAATTAGAATTTTATCCTTTGGGCGATTAGAAGCCAGTGTAGGGATTGGCAGAGGGGGGTTCACGATAGACTGAAGGGGGATAACCTATGTAGAGCTAGGCCAATAAGGAGGGAGTTGCAGTTGTCAAGACGGGAGATAACAAGTGCAGTGGATGAGTAGCTTTGTGGTTTCATTGGGAGGGAAAAAATAAGTAAATAAATATATATATATAATGCCAATACAGTGAGAGATTAGGAACTTAATAGTATGACAAGGTGGAAGTACATTTTTCATTGAAATAGGTACAGGAGTCACAAAGTGTACTACATATAATTACATAGTGCTGTGCCTCTGAAAAACTCAATAAACACATATGTATGCACAACACAGTTCACTTTTCCAGCTTCTCATTTTATTTGCTTTTTTTCTCCTTGTCCTCAGCTGACCTTGTGTTACTCGCTAGTTCCAGATCCAGACACTGAACAGTGTTGCAGATGATCACATATTTAGTCTTTATATCAACCATGGACACTTTCATTTTTCACCATGTGTTTGCCTTATTTTCTGCTTGGTTTAAGGAACTGTTGTACATTTATTCAGGAATACATGCTGGTCATTAAAATAAGAATTCTGTTCTTTTTTATAGGTTCCCTTTGTATTATGAGCTAAAGATTGCCTTTGTTATATGGTTATTATCCCCTTATACTAGAGGGGCCAGCTTGTTGTACAGGAAGTTTTTGCACCCTCTGCTTTCTTCAAAAGAAAGGGTAAGTTACTTTTAGGTGTACATTTATAAAAACTGTTGGTTCATTATTTAATGTGCAGCTGTAGTTTTAGAGAAAATTATTGGATAACTAGGGTAGTGAAGATGAGCATTAACCTTGTTTAAAGTGACACTAAAGTGAGTCATACAACACGGCGAGCTTCCATCCAATATCTGTTTTGATTATTGTATTCACTAGAAAAACACACATAAGCCTTATTTGGTATTACTATATGGTATACCATCATTTTGTGATTGTGTTGTAAATACCACAAACATGTTTAAAAAGAAACAAAAGAACTCTATGAAGGTTGAAATCAAATTGCTATGGGAGGCCTCTGTAAATTACGCTCTGTGACATCTGTCTCTAGATTGATTTACTGTCAAAGCTCAGCTCCTGGGAAATTGTTTAAGTTGTAGTACTCCCTTTATAAAAGTCGATGATGGATAAGTACTGAACTTCAAACTATGTGCCAGGACCATGTATGCAGTAAGAGGTTTGTAATGCTGAGAGCCCGGGTGCGATAACTTTTGACCTAGTTACAGATGTCACAAAGGTAGGAGTAAGTACATACATCATAGAGTTCTTTTTAAGCTACCTATAAATGTGAGCTTATGATCTCATACCTGTGCATGATATCTCTCTGGAGAAACTATTAACTGGACAGCTTATCGGACGCAGACAGGATCCATCCTGTCAACATACGAGTACGGACACGCAGCACGGATCTGTACGGGCCGGCCGTTACCATCTGAATGAGGGCTTATATGGAAAATTGGAGTATGCCTGATTGCCATCACATGCCCCCCTTAATTTAGCCAGGCCATAATTCTTTGCATCACCTTATTGATTATGTTGTTTTTTTTATTATCAGACCTTGCCTTCTGTAAAAAATCTTGTCACTCCCTCTGCTCTTATTGTATGCTTTATTTCACAAGAAGGCCAAGTATAGAATATTGAAGTCACTCTTATTAGCGTACGATGTTGGCGATATAAACTAAAGAGTGAAGATCCATTTTAAGCTAACACAAGTTGGATGCCTTGGAGCATTATCCTTTTCTTGAAATATGAATTTTGTAAATGTAGAGATTTCTCAGCTGAATAAAATGTGAGAAACACGGTGGCATCTGTGCTCGGGTGAAGGTTTGCAGCCTCTTGCTTGATGTTGTACCTGGAGTCATGCATTTTAATAATTTCACGAGTACCAGCAGCTGTTCTCTGTTCCCTGCACAGGAGATTGATGAATACATCGTACAAGCCAAAGAAAAGAGCTATGAAACCATGGTGAACTTTGGCAAGACAGGCTTGAATCTAGCTGCTAATGCTGCTGTGACTGCTGCTGTAAAGGTAAACGCTCTGTTTTATTACTTGGTATTGAATATTACAATTACCTCTTCTAAGACAACATGGCAAATATTGTTGTCTAATTACCAAAGGTTCTTAATGCTAATGTCTGGATTATGTATCTGATTTATGCCTCATTCATTCACCAAGCCTCACTAGGCATAGTCACATAAGCTTATATTGAAGGAAACCTGTACTGAGAGAAATATGAAGGCTGCTGGCTGGCTGAGTATGGCCTCAATACTTTGCGCTTTTGACTCTGAACGAGCATACATATCAGGAAAGTTGTAATGGAGTCAAATCTCCTCATCTGTAAACTTGTTATAATACTGAGTTACTGAGAAAACACTAAAAGCATTGGATAAACATGACAATCAAGGAAGTAATATTTTCAGAATTGGGGTTCACCAGTGGCAGCTTGCATGCTTTCTCAGTGTAGGTTTCCTGTAATTATAGAACTGGGGCCTTCCATTAAAAAATATGTTCTGCAGCACATAATTATAAGTGCACCAGCACTTTCGGCTTTCTCTTGGTTCCCCTGCAAAGTCCCACAAATACCTGTTGAGCCTACTTGGGAATTCCACCTAATACAGCTCCTGTGATAGTGTGGTTACAATGCTACACTGCTTCTGAATTCAAAGCAGTGTTGCCACTCTCGTGTAGGCCTGTTTGCATTTCATTGTGATGATAAAATGTTGCAGGTGGCATGGCAACTAGCATTGTTTCTGCTGTATCATAACCCTGTAGCTTGTCAATCAACACCTGGCTGCACCTAGTCCTGCCAATTGCTTCTGGATTGACAGCATTGCCTGTTTTTTAAACCGTCCCACTGTGAGCTGTAGGGTCTGGGAGGGGAAGCTTGTGATATGCAAATTAAGGAAAATCTAGTTTATTGTGGAAAGGTAAGGGTCTATTCACATCATCCTGCATGCACTATGCTATGCACAAGGTATGTACGCTGATGTGCATTGTGTAGGGGCAGTGTGATGCAATGTTACAACACATCATACTGTTTGTTTGTTTTTTACTTTATTAAACTGACATTTACTGAATAGCAGTTTACTTAAAATTGCAAATTCCAGGCTAAAATAGCACAGTTTTGTCTTATTGCAGTTTTACATATGTTTAAATTTAAGGTCCCCCCTCAATCACTATTTGGTACTTTTGGATGTCACTCCAGGTTAGAGCAAGTCAAGCCAAAATTTTTTTTTTCTTGAGGAATGCAATCCTGTTAAAACACAGATCATTGGCTGGCTTTTCTCTGGGACTCCAGTAGCAAAATCTATTAGCTAATATTTCTGGACTGCATATTACCATTACTCTCTCATATGGCTTTTAGCTGAGTGACATGATGCAGTACTTTGAGTGGTCTAGGGAATTCAGCTAATGGATCTTGCTGCTGGAATCTAGGGTTTACATAATCACTTGGTGTACATTTTAACCTGAAAGCACCATCAAACAATAATGATTCAGTTTCAGTTGGCCAACTTATACCCAGAACTATGCAAGTGTTCCAATTTACTTAAAATGCATAGCTCGTGGTGGACAATATAAGGCATCAGATTAGCATTGCCAGTTATTCCAGCTCACAAATAGGACACATTGCCTGAGAATATGAGGACTGAAAAGTAGTTTCTCACTTCTGTCATTCATGTCGAAAACGAGCCCTTATTGACTTTTCTCTCTCCTTTCTTTCCATTTTGCTGTCCTTGGCTAGTATTGTCACACTTAAGAATACAACAATCTATCTACTGTTCTCCTTCAACCAAGTGAAGGTAAATAGCCTACAACACCAAGCATGAAACATCCTAGTCATACTGAACATACTTATCATACTTGAGACAGCTTACTAAAAGCAGCAGTTATATGAACCTTTTGTGTTGGGCTCTCTTTACACATGGGTTTCTACTTTACACATGGGTTTCTATGTCTCTATAATTAGAGGTACTTGCTTTTTGCCACCTCTAATAAATAAACTAATGAAACAATATAAATTGCAAAATGTGTTAAAGTCTAAATTTCCCTTGGCTGTTACATTTTGTACTTTGGGTAAGTCAAGTTGACCATTAAAGGAGGATTGCAGCTAATCACTGTTTACAATTCATTGCAACATTGCAACATTGTTTGCTTGGTCACTTGTTTGCTTGCTGTGTTTGCAAACCTTCAATGAATTGGAGTTTTATGTGCAAGTACAATCAATAAATGTTCTCCTGTTGTGGTTCAAAAACAGTATAGTTTTTGTATTTAAAGTGGACTTGTATCCCAAAGTTTTGAAAGTATCCCTTTAAACCCAGCTTGCACATTGAATTTGCCAGCTGATGAACTCTGGCCCTTCTCTGCTTATTAATGTGAACGTGACTTGGCCTGAAACTTTTTATCTGTGCTGAAGTTAAGACATCTTTTGGTACTTGTGTTATTCTTACAATCGACCTCTGTCTCTAAGGAGCCCCCTCGGGTTCTAGTTCTATTCAGTATATGGGGTGTTGCCTTCTGCCACAAATGAGTTTTAGCCCCATCCCCTATCAACATTAGGTTGATACACCATCAGCCACTTCAAACTGACAACTTCACTGAATAACAGATTTTAGGCTCAATTCACGAATCTTTAAACATAAGGATATGGCTCTTTATTTTAGCCATGACTGCATTTTTCAAATCTGAAAATTGGATATTAATGATCCGCTTTTTTAAAATAAAGATCCTTATTCTGGTAGGCTAGTATTGTGATTTGAGATTAATGACATGAAGCAGGACTTGATGTGGAGTTCAAACTCCATTTACAAACTGGGTCGTGTCCAAGGGGCTCTACCAGGATCAGTTTGACAACTAACATAAGTTTCAGGTACAATAAGGTGGCTAGGTGCCTGCACTTAAGCTTTGTTACATTAAAAACACTTTAGACCAGTGATGTGGGTGCCATTTTGAAAATGCTAGTTGCCTGACTTCCTTTGAATTCAGGACAATATTTTCTTATTCACAAGACAAACAAGGTAAACCTCCACACCTGCATTCAAGTTTCAGGTCAGTGACTTATTGATGCTGGAGGATCAAGTTTACATCCAGGAACCCAGCATTTCCAGAATGAAATTACCAGCGAGAGTCCCTCTTTTCTATGTCAGGGTTTTTTAAAGTCCATGGCCAAATTAATTAAGCCAGGCAAAAAGGGAGGTAGCAACAGCATTGGTACCTGCATACTGAATCTAGCTGAAGGACAATGCGGTTTAGCTCTGGACAGAGTTGCGTATATCCCTACTGCAGTTAGCGAAGATCTATCTTTAGTTTCCCAAATGGACCTTAGTGACAAAACATTAAACCTCAATACCAAAAAAAAACACATTTTGGGTGTAAAGTCATCATTCATAACGTGCAGTCACTAAATCATGAAAATGCAAATACTACTCCATAAGCAGGAGTCAGATTGATGAAAACACAGGATTTCCCATAAGTGCTACTACAGTGAAGTATGCTAACTGCAGAACAAAGTCACCTTGCAATTAGAAAATGACTCACTTTGCAAATTACAGGAATTGGACAGAAAATGTCTGAAGCAGGCAGTTGTTTTCTACCTCTCCTGCAAATGTTTAATTAATTGAATATATAATGGCTGAGCCTAAGATTGAAAAATAACTAAGCTGCTTTTTGTTCAGCAGCTTGACTTTAGCCTTTTATATTGAATGGTACTTAGCGCTTAATTATTGGTGATCCATTACATCTTTTTTAATAATGAGCACAGTGTAGTACCAATGGGTTTTTATTCTCAGTTTTTGAGAGACACAGGATTCAGAGACAGTTGGTATATACTGCCGCCTACAGGAGGATTTGGACACTGGTAAATGAAAAGTGCAGTGGCCAGCTGGTGAAGCCCCTCCCACTGCCTGCATACATCAGTTATTTAGAAGAGCCCTAGGAGTATGGATATCTTTTCTCTACTGAGAAAAGCTTAAATGTTTTTACTAGCCACTTTTTCTTTAATCAACATTTCCCTACATGATGCTCGAGCTAAGCAGTTATCTGTATGGTTGTACCATCAGCAATAGCTTTGGGGTCTAGCCTGGAATGTGGCTTAGGGCACTTGGTTCTGTATTTTGGCGCTTTTCAGTGTACTGTGTTATTATTATTATTATTATACAGGATTTATATAGTGCCAGCAGTTTATGCAGCATTTTTACAATATAAGAAAGACATTACAATACAATTCAAGACAAGATGGTAAAGAGGGCCCTGTACCTGATAGCTTACCGACTCTGGTGTGACCCAGTCTTTGATTACTCACTTTGTGAGTAAGCCATGTGGGCCTGACTAGGATCTCTTAGCCACCCCAAGACTAATAAGAACTTCCTGGTGCACTTTTTAATTCCAGACAGCCTTTACGGAGATTGGTACACTCCTTTACAGCTTTTTTTAAAACTCTTATCAATTTGAAGAGTCTTGTGTTAAGACATGGGCCATTCCTACTGTGGCCCCAGCAATATCCTGTCTTAAAAAAACGCTTATAATCCTTGTAGAGGATGTGCCTTTTATAAAGCAGAACTCCGGGCAAATAATCTCCGGGCACTGCAGGAATTAAGTTCTCTTTTTGTCTAGGGAGCTAAAATAACATTATACTTACATGAATCACAATCTCAGTCTCTTCAGCCTTGCTCCAGTGGTCTAAGGTCCTATGAGACATCACTTTCTGTACAGTTTATAGCACGTGAGGCTGAGGGACATACCATTGCTGGAGTGGAGGATGAGACAGGCTGGAGGGAGTGGTGTAGGAGCCAGCTGGGATCGCGGTTCTAATAAATTTGAATTTGACCTGTTATCTGCCTCTTTTTAAGGGTTCAGTGCCCATTTTTGTCTAGGTAGCAAAAATAACAGTTACTTTATCTGCTTGCATTAAAAAATACATTCAATGAACTTTTAATTTGTGCCTTTTATATAAGTTTAGATTTATTTTTATGTATGCATAGAAGGGCTTGGGCATAAGTGTGCTTCTGCTTATTACATTCTTGTCAAAAGAAAAATAAAGAAAAAGCAGTAGGACAAAGACTTAAAGAGAATAGTACCATAGTTCTTTAATCAAAGACAGATATGCTGTCTGGGAGAGTGGAGAACAAAGAATTCTCAGTGTAAGTACTTTAATTTGAAGACTGGCAAATAAAGAAAAGTTGTTAATAAGAATAATGCTGAAGGTGTTGCCTACAGTGGTTTCTGAGAAACCACTTGCACTGCCAACTTTTATTACAAAAGGTAATAATGATCACACGGCAGAAATGCAACGATTTGCATTACTTATCAAAGTTGTGGAATCAGATCTGTGTGTGTAAGTTGCCAAGGGGCATCTTTTAGATGAATAATTCCCTTAGTAAACATGGCAGTAAATGGAAAACAAAACATCTGCCCTCAGAAGCTCTTTTAAAGTTTTGTTGTTAAATATTCTGTATTGTTTTGTGAAAGTGAAACATTCCTAACTCCCTGCGGTCGGTGGCACCACTTGAAATATATTATAGATCCTGCTGCATTTTCCTCTTATTACATCTGCATCTGTCACTTTATGTAGAGTGGCATGTTGCTGGGCTTTGAAAGCTGATAAGAATGCTAATGAATAATTTAGCCTAATTTGTTTGTGCTTCATACCCTGTGCTACCTATCAGAGGAACATTAATTTGAATGAGGAAAATAAGAATAACTAAGCTGAGCTCATGATATATAAATTACATCTAATTCTCGGTTTCATCAAATATAAGAATGCCATGTTTCCATCAGAATATATTTATTTGAAACCCAATTAAACCTTCAGTTTAAATAGGCTAAATATATTTGAGATGTATCAAAACAAAAGGTGTTCAATGCCTTACATCTTGTTTTCCTTCTAAAGCTCCCACATCATGAGTAGAAAAGGCTGTCTCCTGCCAGCATCTGCAGAATTAATTTTTTGCTCTCTCAGAGGTCCGACATGCCCCCAGACTTATAGCTCTGCAGTCCACAAAGTTCATGCTTCCTGCTGAATGGAGAGCTTTAGATTTACAGTGTGTGTGTGTGTGTGCGTGTGTGTGTGTGTGTGTGGGGGGGTCTTTTGGGTTAGTTGTCTTTGTAATGAGACCACTGCTTTCCCACAGAAAGCAAGGGTCCCATTCTGTAGAAAGCTGGCAAGGGGACAGGCTTTTCTACTCAGGCTGTGGACAATTTTTTAAAAGAAAACAAACTGAAAGTGCCCATTCACACCAGCAGCTGCGCTAAAAAAACAGCTCTCATATATGTATTACATTATGTATTTATCTGTTTGCCTGGAGTTCAGCTTTATTGAAGTAATAAAAGTATATATCGGCAAGCAGCAAATAGGAAACTAGCATCAACACTAGTTTAGGTAAACATGGCATTGAATTATTCTTAGTCCAAATCAGGTAAATAACGCGAGGTATGTAGGTGCTAATCCTGTGTGACCAGAGGCTGTTTGTGTCTAGCACAGCATTCATCACTGATAGTAAAGTAGGCCCCATTTGCAAGTGGCAATTGGGTAAGTCTAACATATTGTTTGATGAGACTCATGCGAGCAACTGCTGGCGATGTGTCCAATGTGAAAGTCTACAATTGCAAATGTCCCATTGCACTCCAGACCAGAATCCCAAAATAATATAAAGAAGGGTGCTCGAATGACATGCAGATGGCACTGCACCAATCCAATTGTAGAGAAGATGGTCACCTGCACACCAAGCTCCAATGCATCAATACATCTTTATTTGACATCAGACACACAGGGTATCACGTGTAGAATCAATGTTTCAGAACCTTAAATGGTTCCTTCATGAGGAAAATACATAGGTATAATAAGGTTCCGAAAAGTTGCTTCTACACGTGATACCATGTGTGTTTGATGTCAAATAAAGATGTATTGATGCATTCGACCTCGGTGTGTGGGTGAATATCTTCTGTGCAATGTGAACGGCTGGGGTGCTTTGGCCTTTTATTGGTTTGTATAGCGCCCTGCACCTGCCACTGTTCGCATGAGTCTTATAGAACCATTCATAGGATTTACCCGGTCTCCCCAATTTGCAAGTATGAATGGGGCCTTAGTAAGGGAGCCTGTGATGGATGCAGGCATGGCTGAATTTCAGCTTCAATTTCCATTACTGCAGTGTAACAGCACCTCCTCCCACTTGTTTACCATGCCTTCCAAGTGTCAGGAATACAATGTTCTATGAAATAGAAACACTCTGCCTGTGTAGTGGAAATATTTGATGGTTTGACTTTGTTTCTAGTTTGCCACTGCCAAATAGACTAATGAAAAAAGATATTTGTTCTCATATGCATTCTAACTCATACCTGTTTATTTGCCCAGAGCCAGGGGGCCATTACAGAACGCTTACGAAGCTTCAGTATGCACGATCTAACCGCAATACAAGGAGATGAAGCCGTGGGGGGCAGATCATACCCGCTTTTACAAGAAGCACAAAAGAAGTCGAAAAACATTTCCAGCGAAGCAGGAGGTGAGTCAGGCGATGTCTGTTTGTAGTATTGTATGTTGTGTGTACCTTGTGTTTTCTGGGCAGTGGCCACAACTCCCCATTTTGTGAAAAGCTTGACTGCAATTATTCCCTGTGGTAACTCCCTGTCCTAGGCAGTGGAATCAAATTTAGGATGAATTGTATGCAGGCTGTGTCGGCTCTGGGCAGACCACAGTGTAAAAACCTGAGATTTACAAACACTTGCATTATGGGGTCTTTAGGGAGTTACTGTTGCTAACGCTGACCATACATGCAAAACATTGATCTCATTCAGCCCTTCCATGTGAAACTGTGTGGATAAGGAAATCCCCTCTGCCGGCTATTCTATACAGGAGTCCAAATAGAGCGTGCATCTGATTGGATGAAGGTGTTTTCTGCCTGAGAATTCCCAGCTGGCTCCTTTCGACAAAAGTCAAATAAAAAATCGGCATTTGCCAAGCTGGGGGCTGCTAACCGGGCCACCCATGGTTACAATTTTGACAGCAGGAATCTGCCAAAATTTGAGCAGTGTATGGCCAGAGGAGGGTGTTTTGTGAAGCCGTTCTTTTAAAATTAACTCCAGGTTGTAAAGATCTGTAGGACTAGGATATGTAAGTGTATTATGTGCTTTATCCTGATCTCCGTTTGTCCGATCCAGAAATCATCATGTGTACAACTTGGCAGTCAGCACTCTATGCTCTCAGTGAGCTAGTCTACAGAAGGCCAACATGAATTGTCACAGACAACTGGCTGCCTGCATAGTAATGTACTAAGGGCTCAATGTTGCTGACTTCCACAATTTAAGATCCCTGGCTGCACCTATGTATATTTAGCTTCAACTCAGGCGTTAAATCTAAACAATGTATTCAAGTACCTGAACTATTAACAAAAATATCTCTTATTTGTGTATCACTCAGCTGTAGATCCTCAAATCATCTCTGAATTGGTGCTGACACTCTCCTTCCTTCTGGAGGGTGGCTACTTTTGTTCCCAATGGTCCCTGTGTGTGTTGTAAAGTAGTCACCACTCCGAACTCACTCCTGTGATGGACTGCATCTCAATACAAATTAGTAAACTACACGTGAGATTGTGATCCATCACAGGGAGCGGTGGCTACTTTTATAAGGTACATTTGTATTAATAGTTAAGGTACTTTTAATGCATTTATAAGATTTAACTCCTGAGTTTAGTGTCGCTCTAAAAAACCCCCAAAACATCATATATTTTCTGAAAGCAGAGGCTCAGTAGAATAACAATAAGGTAGGCTTTTATGTTTATTATATTTTGTGAACTGTTAATATACTGTATAGTTTGGTAATCAGTAAAAATACAGTACAACTATTTGTAGTGCACACAAAACAATACAATCCCCAATTTTTGTACTGGAAAATGAGAATGTGTCAAGTAAATAAATACCAAATACGTCAAGCCACAAAACACGCCTGCGAAATGATGAAACATTATGGTACCCAAACGTATCTATAGGCAACACTTTTTAAATGCTTTTACAGCTCATCAGTTTAGAGTTAATGGTAAATAAGGGACCTAGACTAATTTCTCTCTGTGCGCACCCTACGTGGATGTTTGCATTTGTATGTGTGTGTGCAGGGTGATGGGGATGCTCTTCTTTGTTTTTTTAAAATTAATATTTTATTTTTTTTTAACTCTTTTTACATTGTTTTCACTTTATTCCTATAACAAGGGGGCAAACAAGCCACCTATGAGATAGCATTCGGCAGGCGACTAGTAAGTGTTCTTCTTTACACTGAAGATAGTTCTTAATGACATTGGCTGTATGTTTGGGGTCGTTGTCCTGCTACAGAATACATTTGGGGCCAATCACACCCCTCCCTGATGGTATGGCATGATGGAAACGTATCTGCTTGTATTTCTCAACATTGAGGACACCATTGACCCTGACCAAATCTCCAACTCCATTGGCAGAAATGCAGCCCCAGACTTGCAAGAACCTCCACCATGCTTCACTGTTGCTGCAGACACTCATTATTGTACTGCTCTCCAGCCCTTTGGCAAGCAAACTGCCACCTGCTACAACCAAATATTTCAAATTTAGACTCCTCAGTCCAGAGCACCTGCTGCCATTGTTCTGCACCCCAGTTCCTATGTTTTCATGCGTAGTTGAATTGCTGTAGCAGGAGGCTGAGTGCTTCCAGGTTCACTCACCACAGAGGACATCGGAGGGAAGATGTTCCTCAATGTCCTCCTGCTGGCCATCCTGACAGTGTACATTGTGGAGGAGCAGAAGAGCCCTGGAACAATGGAAGGGAGGTGGTAGCAACATCCTGTGAGCCTTGTAAAAATGAACAGGTGACTACAGCCACCCCAATCATTTTTACTACAGTGGCGGGAGCCTGCTGAAAAAATAGATGACTACAAGGTCAGGCCGTAGGGCAAATGTCTAAAATCTTGATGTGGTTAAGGTGTACTTTATCCTTTAAAATACAGCTGTATTGCGGGCTTACAATATCTGCCAAGGCTCCAGCTGGCATTAAATGTGTATTGCAGAGTCTGGCTCTTCAGAGCCTCCGAAGTTAGCATGAAGATCTGCATTTTTTTAAAACAAAAGTGTGCTTCCCCATGTGGCAAAGCGCAAACGTGGTGCTCCTGTACCAGAGAGCATCATACAACATTTAGGCTTTCAAGTTGCAGGTATATGTGGATCCTTCTATGTAACCACATCCTTATATTTGATGCCCACACTGCAGGTTTCCTTTAAATCAGGTATCTCTAGCTCTCAGAAGAGCCGACTGTGCTGAAAAAAAGTCTCTCTTTTAAAAATATAATGAAACAGTGTGTTAATCTCAACGTAATTTGTGAACTGTCTTGCTGATATATTGCTGTTTTTCCCCAGACACTTGAGTAGCCTATCTACCAGGCTTCACAGTGATAGAATACAATGTAGGAGATGTGAATTCATAAGCATGTAGAAAAAAAAAAGATGGAAGATAAAAAGATTTCAGAGAAGGTTGGCTGGAAATGGTTCAGCACTGTGCAGACATGACTGAAATACACAATGCACTGCTAGTCTACCAGGAATTTTAATAGCAGAGCTCTAAGTTGCTTGCACATTGCCAGTTCACCACAGAAGAGGTCGTAGAAGGAAATCTGAAGCTAGAATAAATTAAGGCAGATTTTTCAATATTTAAGGGTTTTGTCCTTTGTAGGCAGAATTACCAGTAAATTGCTGTTTAGTAATGGAAAATACAGTCTAAAGTAATTCTTATATTCACCGCTGGGATAGTTGTTTCATCAAGTAAAACAATTCATATGGCTCTCATAATCCAAATAATTTAGGACATTTCACAATAATCTGTGTGTTCATGGATGTGATGTAGAATGGTTTGTTTTGAATAGAGGCAGGAAGTAGAGAATAATGTAACCCAGATGTTGGTGCTGTATAAGGTTGTACTTTTCAAAGTAGTAAAACATGGTGCTAGCATCACCTAGTGGGTCTTTATGGAATGACTTGGTAGCTAGTTTGCCAGACTGATAGGACTACCTTATCTTCTCTTACATTTAAGATGCACATAGGGCAGTACAATTAATACTTTCATATCAGCCTGCATAGCACTGCCACCACTGCAGATTTGGGTTTACCCAAGTAAGGATTTACTATCTACACACTCTCAGGGCTTGTTCACACCGTGTCTGTTGAGCTGCATTTTTCTGAACACCACTGCATCGGTATGGTGTGAACAGGTCACATGGAAAACAATTAGTTTCTACATACGTGTGGTTGTGTGTAGAAATGTGCAGCTTAATGGACATGGTGTGAACAAGCTCCTAAAGTAACCCTCCCCTAAGTGAATTTTCAAAATCTAACCTAAACCCGAAAATAAGCATGTCAACACATAACAATGAACTTCCCTTATTTGTTCCCCTTTGCTCTGGTAAATGAACTATTGAATGTGTTTGTAAAGCTGTTCAATAAATACAATAAAATACCTGTTGATAATGTCATAAATTCAGAGCTGTCCTGTGCACACGTCCTGTGTATTTAGCAGTCAGATTAGTCCTCCCAGTTCTTATCTTGGATTATTTATTACAGGTATTTATCTAGCGCTGTCATTTTACGTGCTACTTACTATTATTGATTCATATCAGTCCCCCCCCTTGAGGTGCTTACAATCTAAGGTACCTATGTCACATGCAAACCCATTCTAGGGTCATTTTATCAGCCAGTTCACCTACCAGCATGTCTTTGGTTCCATCCCAAACTCCAGAGTCCCTAGAGGAAACCCATGCAAACCCAGGGAGAACTTGCAAACACAATGCAGTCATGTCCACTTTATGGGATATGCTAAGGCCCCTTTCACATGAGTGGTCCGATTGTGTCTGCCTGTTAGTTTTTCATTCGGACCCGATCGGATGCTCTATGCAAGTCTCTGGCAGCCGTGTGTAAACAGACGAGCATCCGTTTACACCCGGTCAGCCCCAGCTCCGCCTAGGTCTGGAAAAACAAACAGATCAGAAATATGTTTGGACGGACCGCATTGTGCGGGACTGGGGGTAATCGGACACATGTCCATTTACCTCCGATTTCCCATAGACACACATGGGGTCCGGCAGTTTCAGTTTTTTCCTTCTTCGCAAGATGGAGGAAAAAAACTGTACGGACACTGACACTCTCTAGATCAGCCCGTGTAAAAGGGGCCTTAGTGTTGGTGTTCCCTTCAACCTATGAATTTATGATTTAGGTAGACTGTGGTCCTGTGGCAAGAGAGACTGAAAATGTTTCCTTTACATAGAGTCCATCAGAGCTCTGAAACTGTTCCCACTCTTTGCATTTTGGCTTGTTAAAAGATGTCTGCAAATATAGAAATGTAAGAGTTAGATTATATACTATACTAGAAGACAGTTTAAGCTATATACTGTAGTCCCTTTACTACTCTACTGCTTATGTTAGTCTTGGTTCTATGCAGTGCTTTATCCTCCATTCAAAAATGTTCACTATTCCAAGTTCAACAAGTCTGTTTCCTGTTTATTCAGCACAACGTGAATAATTGTCTACCAGTGCTTTTTTGTGTGTCTCATTTCAGGTTGTCTAGGTACTTCTGTGCAGGATATCCAAATAACAGCATACCAGTCCCTGTGCTATGAATGTTCTTCAGTATGTCTCCATAACAATGTATATACATATATGGAGCGAATGAAGTACGTTCAGCATAACTTTCCTCACGCTGACTATCTCCAGAGTCTACTTTCCATATTAAAATTGAATACAGAGCACAGGAGGCAGCTGCCCCAATTTCCAGAGGATCGCAATAGTTGGCAATGTTTTGTCCCTGGAATATTATTGTAACACATTTTATTGTAAAATTGCTGATAAACAACAGCTTAGCCTTACATCAGCGATAACAAATATTTCAGACTCTTTACGGGTTTGGGGACTATTGCATTTTTAAAATTATTTATATTAAATGTTATTTATTGTTTTTTTTTGTGTCAGGTAAATCTGAAATATTTCATGGTCATATTTTGTATTCTCCAGTTGATGCAGCAATTGGTGCTTTAAGGTGGCCATACACTGTACCATTTTTGTTCGGAAATCGTATGCAAATGGTCTTTGAAATGCATATCGAACAGTTGATAGTACATCACTGATTTTCGTTTTTGAGATTGTGATCAAAATTTTTCGATCAGTCAGGTTGGAACTTTTTTCGCCGAGCGAAAATCCATGAATCAGTGGGGTTTTTGTTCATCCAACATCTCAGCAACAACACAGCACATGCGCAAACAGAAATTATTTCCGTTTCTGGTCAAAAATTAGTTGGTTAATATGGCTAACGAACGATTTCCAAAATTGACATTTGACTATGCTTGATGTGGAAGTCTAGGTATAATTGAACTAGGGGTTCGTGCCAGAAATGAAAAATTTTGAACATAAATAGTACAATGTATGGCCACCTTTAGACTTCTTTTCACATGATTTCTAGAGGCTCCTTTGCACCTCTAGAACAATTAGAAAAAATTAGAAAAACAAAACAATGGAATCTTGGTAGTGACTCATCCTTTATTTGATAGCTACAAAGGATATATAAAATATAGATTGTAATATGTATACTTTATTTATTTATTTTTTACAATAGTTTAAATGTAGGGCAAAGTAATAGGGTCACTTCACTTCCCTCTCCCCACCCCAGCAGCATATACTCATGATTCCTTGCTCGCATACTGCTCCATTACACTGTTGGGTCCAGGTAAAGAAAGCATAAAAAGTTCCAAACGGGCTTGTCAGAACAGGGGCTTATGTGACAGCGCTGGGCCAATTATGAGGTGCCATTATTGAAAAATGGAAAAGCAGG